CTAATTACACAAGTGACAATTGCGCCAAGAACATGCCAGAAAATATCAACAATCAAAAGTTAAATCGAAATATTGCCGAAACGAATTTATTAAATATAATTAATATAAAAGAAGACCCTGAGTATAAACAGTAGAAACGCGGACGCAAGACCTTTGCGCAAAGCTGGCCTCAGATAAGCGAAATGCTGAATCAACACGGGCCAATGCGGAAGGGTCAAGGTTACCGCGAAAATTAAGATATATAAGCGCGACCGCGAATGCAGTCAGAAATTTGAAAGAAACTTGTCGTGTTATTTTGCCCGTCGTCTCATCGAAATTGTAACAGTATCTATCGCGACGCGAATGTGCTGGAATTGTAATAAGAATAAAGTGAAATTATAATAAGAAACCACTGGTGTTATGTAAAACTGTTAAATATATTTTTACTTAAAAGACTACAAGATTGTTTCTTATCTCCCGAAGTCCTCTATGGATCCGCGAACCGTGCCGTGAAATAAGCAGCACAATACATCCCATTGTCTACATAATAGATTTTCTAATCTCAACAACAATTAACAAATTATAGGCCTCATTTTGTCTCTGACAGATTTCTTAACAATAATCGTCAACTTTAACGATTAATATCTTGGTTCGCAGGACAGAGCAAAACTTTTTTTTTTTCATTTCATGCAAAAACACGTTGAATAATCTTAATTTTATTGATTTTTGAGGTGGAACTTTTATACTAATTACCTTAATGCTAAACAAGACTAAAAATATAGATAACAAAGAACTAAACAAATTAAGGACTGCTAACTGAACTGTTGCGAGCAGGACCAAGGTAAGGCCGGACTCATGGTGGAAGGGATTGACATGAGATCTGTTTTTGCTGCACTCTGAACCGGTGCAATAAATTAAAGTGAAACAAATGTATATTTTTTTCATTTCAACTTATTGCACTGTGTAGTTCAGAAAGTGCAGCAATAAAAAATAACTATGATGCTCAGTTTGGGCAAACCACGCCCCTTTCGCGAGTTGAAACATCGTAGATTCAGGCCTGTCAATTGCGAAAAAATAAATGACGTTGCTACAACTGATCTCTATCTTCGTCAGATGCTGTGTCCTTTTCTCTCTTCGTTTTGAAGCTTAGAGCAACTAAGCTCGAGTCAAGCAAGTATCAAATGTAATTTTAAGAGTTTATTAGAGTACGTATTACATTATTCGAAATGGATTCCTATTGGAATTATTCAACTATTCGATTTCTATTGTATTTTCTAGAAAAAATGGAACAATTCCGTAAGTGCTCTGAGGATTCCGTTGAGCTATACGCTAGTATAAGTATTGTATAAATTGTACTTATTTATTTATATTTATTGATTTGTTCATTTATCCAAGATAAAATGTTTTATTTTAAGTACGAAGCGCCACTACGATCTGAATGTTAAGATGTTGAACTACAATATTATATATATTCATATAAATGAATTTCAGAAATAATAATTGCGTGCCGATATGGTTGTCGGACTTTCAATCAATCTGAAATATTAATAATCCTCTCAAATTTCTCAAATTTAAAAAACTGTAAAAAATTTATTGCTTCGGCCGGGAAAAGTCGAACCCAGGTCTCTTGCATTCCGTGCGAGATCTGGTTGTCTGGATATCGGCACGCAATTATCATTTCTGAAATTAATTTATTTATATGAATATATATATGAATATATATAACAGTTCAACAGCTTAACATTCAG